AATAATTCAGGTTTTTGTTTTTAAACGATTATTACAATTTGAACATTAAAATCAATTATAATCTATTTTTATGTATGAGATAGTATTAAAATAATAAAGCGTTCGTAATCCATAGGCGTAGCACTTCTTTTAGTAGACAGTTAAAATATTTTTTGAAGTTATTCCTCGAGTATACACTTATATTTTCATCTAATTAACCTGCTTATAACTTCTAAACAGCTGAAGGTAAAAAAGTGCAATTTTTTCTAAAATGTTTTATTTTTCCACAAGGTATGTTAAGAACATTGTGTCAAACGGGTTATGTAGGTATAAGGGTTTAAACTTTGACTTTTAAACAACGTTACGTTCATAAATAATAATTTTTAATATAAAAACTACTTCTTACCTACAAATCCAAATCAGAATCGAAATCAGAAGATGAACTGTCGCAACCAATATTTACAATGAGTGGCTCGATCATTTCATCAGTAATATTGTCCAACTTCCACATTTTCTCTTCTTCTTTAATCTTATGATTTACTGCCTTTTCCCAGTTTTCAGGCTTCACATTATTTACAGCCTCCAAAAACAACTGTTTAACATCACTTATTTTAAAAGAATTATTTTTTCTTGAAACTTCTCCCTTTATCTGTGCCCATATCAGTTCAATCGGGTTTACTTCGCAATAATATGGTGGTGATCTAACCACCGTTATCCCACGATTTTTTGCAATTTCATAAATTTCTTATTTTTTTAATTTCTCTTTATGAAGGGAACACAAATGATACAGATCTTTTCTCACAGAACCGGGGGATGGAACTTAATATTCTTTGAATTTAGCCAATTCTGTAAATCTTTTTTTAACCACTTGGTTGTGGGCATTTTTTCTATAAGTCTCGATTGATAACTTGCATTATCCATTACTATTATACAGTTCTGAGGAAGATCTATAATTTGTTCGAACCACTCTTTAAAGACATCAGCATTCATGTCCTCATGGTAGTCACCGGTACGAGTAGATTCAAAAGTCAATAAACCACCTTTAACAAAACCGTTTGAACTATCGATGTGTACTATTATTAGTCTGCGCCCCTTTCCTGATGGTGGATTTAAACCAGTAGATAAATTATTTAAAAAAGCCTGTCTTCGACTTGTAACAGTTTCATCTTGCCAAAATTTATTTGGTTTATGTCCCTCGTTGATCCATGTTTCATCTAAATAAAATATATTTCTTCTTTGGTTTCTCATTTCTTTTATTGTCCTTAGGTAATTTCTTCTCCATACTACAATATCACTTCTTTCTATTAAAATAGACTTTCTGGAATGCTTTTTTCATAGAAAACCTATTTCTTTTAAAAGTTTCCATAGTGTGCTTCGACTCATTTCAGGGTAATCCTTATCATCTCGAACCGTGGCAAGAACTTTGTCTACTGTCGGAAATTCTTTTTTAAAGAAGAACGCATGCACTTTCCTTCGAAGTCTTTCTTTCAAAAGATTTTCTAATTGAAATTTTGGTTTTCCTGGAGCTTTACGTGCTGTTTGAAACTCGCCACATTTCTCTTCTTTAACAACTCTGTAAATCGTAGATTTCCCAACACCAAGCGTACTACTAACTAATTCCACTGTGTCATCAACACTTTTACATAAATATTTGTCTGTAAATGATTTAAAACAATTAAATATTAATGTTTTTTCATTAACTGTTAAAGGACCGATTTTTTGTCGTTTACGCGGCCCTTCCAAATTTTCCATGATCACACTAGTCAAGAATACACAACTTGGACCTCCTTACTAAATGGAAAAACCTATAATCGCATTTTCGGTGAAATTTGTTGGGAAGGTATTTGTCTACTTATAATTCGATTACTGTAAGAAATTCTTGGAATTAAAATAAAACAAAATTGGCAAATAGGTACTTATAGTCCGTCAGATAGTGACAGGTTTAGGTGCCCCATTTTCGCATACAAACCTCGAAGAGGGTTGAAAAGTACATCGATTTTAAGTAGAATAAAAGGAAATTTACGAGTGGCTGCTGGGGATAACACATGGAAAATTCGATTTTCCCTAACAAATATTATTATATTTTTTAAAAATTAACGGTAATTAAAAATTTTTCGGGTTGTTTTCGTTTACTAAAAAAGGTAATCGGTCTTGTAAATCACTATTTTTCATGCAATGCATCTCATTAGCCGAAGAAGCTTACATTATGCCTATTATTAAAGACTTTAAGAAATAAGTACCTATAAATACCTTTTATCGTCTGATGCTTACTAAAAAAGTTCAACCATGGTCTTGTATATCACTAATTTTCATGAAATACATCTCATTAGCCTGACAAACACTCGTTATTCCTATTATAAATGTAATTTTAAGCTATTGTTCCATGGGGTTGTGACAGAGATCCAGTAAATTTGATGAAGGTGTCACTGTGGCTAAGGGCAAAATAGTAGTAAGCTAAGTTAGCAACACCATAAAAAAGTAATTTTCTTTCATAAATTGGCAGGCTTGGTGACAACTATTTGCGAATAAAAATCGCCTCCAAAAAGGCTATGGTTGCAACTATGAAGGTCGCAACACTTTACAATCAACAGCTGTTGTTTGACAGGTCGTTATAGTGCCTAATATTGGAATGTTGGACGTCAGGAATGATTTGAATGCATAAAATAAGTTACATAAGAAATGTATGGGCGGATTTTAGGAACATTGATATTAAAGTAATTAGGATGAATCGAAAATTCTGAAAATTAATAGTGTTCTAAGTGCAAGCCGGACTCGCGCATAAAGGATTCTGGCACCATCGTACAAGAAACTAAAAAACTAGTAGGGGAACCCCCTTTAAGTTTTATTTTATATTTATTATTTGTATACCTATTACGGATCATGAGATAGACAGCCGGATGGACAGCGTAGGTTTAGTAAGAGGGTCCCGTTGGTTACCCTACGGGTACGGAAACCTAAAAATTGACATAGTTTTCTTTTTAATTTTTCCTTTAAAATATTCTGAGATACAACCGACTAACAGCTCTTAATCAGACTGTACAGGCTTGACATAAAATATTTTACTGCTCTTAGTATTTATTCTTTTTTAGTTATTACTTTTGGTGATTGTTTGACTTAATTATGTAATCTTTCTAAATATTGTTTGAATAATTTTTATCTTTATTTTATATAAAACTATTTTTTATTAACTGACTATAAAAAAGGAGGAGGTACTCAATTCGTCGCAATATTTTTTTTATGTACGTTCAACGATAATTCTTTAACACGGTGTCCGATTTCAATGATTCTTTTTTTAAACGAAAATAAACCAAAACTCAAATGTGATAGATGTAAAATGAAATAAAATGAATTTAGCTCAAAGCCAGAATATCACATAAAATACAACGACCGTTTCCCCTTCAAAAAAACAACTACTCATTTAGCTAATACCACAACAGGCATTGAATTTCATCCGAAGAAAAAACAGCAGAGATAGAAATTAATTTTCAACACTCTCTACTTTGATTTTGCTCACCAAGGAGAACATCATTCTTGGACCGGTTTCGTCCTTATTAGGACTCCTCAGCAAGAAATAGATAGGTTCTCAATTCCAGTCTCTGGGTACCACAGCGCATTTTGATTTTGCTTACTAAGAACAGATGGCGACACCATTTTCACTACTTGAATTTTTATTCTCTTCATAACCAACTGTATGGTATACTGGTGAAATGTGTAGCATTTGTTAATTCCATTAGAGACTGGAATTGAGAACCTATCTATTTCTTGCTGAGGAGTCCTAATAAGGACGAAACCGGTCCAAGAATGATGTTCTCCTTGGTGAGCAAAATCAAAGTAGAGAGTGTTGAAAATTAATTTCTATCTCTGCTGTTTTTCCTTCGGATGTAATTCAATGCCTGTTGTGGTATTTGCCAAAGGAGTAGTTGTTTTTTTGAAGGGGAAACGGTCGTTGTATTTTATGTGATATTCTGGCTTTGAGCTAAATTCATTTTATTTCGATTCTTTTTTTTGTTAGAAAGTGGGTACTTCAGGTTTGGTCCCATATAAATTAGGTCAACTAATAATTGGATCCATAGAGAAAATCCTCAAACTCTTCATTTTTTATGTATATTTAGCGATAATGATTTACCACCTTGTCCGATTTATTTGATTTTTTTTGTTAGTAAGGGGATACCTCAGGGATGGTCCCATATAAATTTGGTTAAGATGTGGTGATGGCATCTGCACGTTCTTGAAGTCGGTTTTGTTATCAATTGTTGACAAAAAATAAATGAAATTAAATAAAGCGGTAACTCGAATTTTACATTCAACATATTACTGGGAAAGTTTTACGTATTTCGCGTTTTAGCACAAAATTACCTGTTTATATTAAAAATAGCTTTGATTATTTGTTCTTTGCAGTATTTTCGAAGTAGGCAATAAAGTTAGATCAAGAAAGTTTTCCAGTTACGCCTTTTAATTAATAACAACTTGAAATTTTAAGTAAACGATCCTTGACTTTTTTGTTTACATCAATATTTTTTCTTCAGTTTTTATTTATTTTGAGCGGTGGTGTTTAACGATATTAATTATACAGGGAATCTTTTAAAATGTGAATTCATTTCACGTAGGGTTTTTTTTTATAATTTATTTATTTATCGAGGGGAGTAAAAAATACCAATAATGTTATTATAAATTTATTTAATTTTTAATTATTTTTGATACATGTTTTACAATCCAGATATGTTTTAATAACGTATTTAATCAACTTCCTGTTATGTTTTCGTTTATTTACATATAGTGTTACTATTAAAAACGTATTTTTTATTACGGTAAATAAACTGTTTTATTATTATTAAAAAGCATAAACCACTAAATAAAAATGTAGTATTTTTCTAAGCGTAATATGTAACTGAGGTCAGAAAACCACTTTCTTTAAATTTCTTCACTAAAATAAATATAATAATTTCCTCAGAACTGGTACAGTCAATCATTTTCTTTTTCATTTTATACCCAAAACCTATTATTTTATTTTTATATTCCAGGTGGTTCAAGCACTTCACGGATGCAACAGAGTCATACAACAAACGACAAGGCAAGTCATCTGACCGACAAGAACCTACTTCCGATTCAGAAACGGAAAGCGTACAGGATCTGCCGCCCTCCGAAGAAGTTGCCGAACGAGCGGAGGCCGTCGGAGGTGACGATAGTCCTTCTGAACCCGTTCACGACTCGGCCGGTCAAACAGATCAAGAGAAAGAAGTTGTAGAAGAGGAGGAAGAAAGGCAGGAGAGTGAAAATAGAGAGTCTGCCTCATCACCAGGTTTGTAGAAAATTTGTTTAGCAGTTGTGTGAAATTCTTTGGATATTAATTGGAGTTAGGATTATTTTTTTTTTTTTAATTTTTGTTTGAGAAAGAAATTATAATAGTCAATGGCTGTAATTTTCTAATCAAAATACATTTGGAAACAAGTTAATAGTATATTGTTTAATGAGCAAGGAATGGTACTCATTTCCTACGATGCTGTAAATTATACAAGTAGTAAAAGAGCATTCCTTGTGAGTTGAACACTATTTTTTCTATGTCTATAACAAGCTGCTATTACCCATTATTAATTAGTTTTGTAATTTATGAAATGAAAATAACAGCTCTCTCTCTCTCTCTAATTGTAGAATGTTTTACGTTTCATAGCACACGTGATATTACGGAAATAATTAGGAAATGATTACTTTGTGATATCATATAAGAATGTGATAAGGAAATGATTACTTTGTGTTTTCAGAATTATCCAATAAGGAAATATATTTTGTTTTATAGCCGTAGAAAGAAATAATATCTTTTGTTATAAAAGTATATAAATTTTTGAGATTCGTTTGTACATTGTCTTTTATTTTTTCAATTATACTATTCATCAAAGAATAAGCTTCTTAATCCACATACAACTGTTTTAAAATCGTGTTTAATTTCGTTTGAAGCTGATTGGATTAGTTGATGTGATCTGGTGACTAAAATATAAATTTAGTACCTAAATAACCCTGATAATTATTATTAAAATAGATATTTAATCTAAAATGTCATAACAGACAATAATAAATTTTATTTGGAATATTTTTGGCACAAGATATAATAACTAATTGATAGGAAATAATGTATTTGTTCATATAGCTGGTGATAGAACGAACTTTAATAATTATGAAAATTTGAAAAAATTTAAAATAAATTCAGGAAAATTTAAAAAATTGCAAATTGCGGATTTACCCGGATGTGACCTAGTCGGAAGGGCTTTCGAGGAACGTCTGACCACCCAAATGTCCACTTCTTCATTTTTTATGTGGATTTGGCCAAATATTGCAAAATAAATCGCAAAGAATTTCTTCAAATTATTAAAAATAATGAAAATGTTTTTATACTCGTTTTTGTTGTAAAAAAAACAGTTTTAAAGCCATCCGGGGAAAAAAATTAATTTCGGTCAATATCGTGGTTTTTTTTAGGTTTCTATACGGCGTCGACACTTTTCTTCGTTTATTTTGTTGGAAAATACTATTGGAGACGTCTTTAATGATACATCCTTTGCAATTATAATTTTGAAAATTTAATATTGTTAAAAATAAACTAGTCACAACGAAATAGGTATCACTTATTTAAATTGGTTATAACTTCAAAAAAAGAGGAGATACTTACCTTAAATTTTGTGTTATTATAGTTTAGGTATGTGTCTTTAAGAGTGTGCACGTTTTAATTTTTAAACATTATCATACATTTAATAAAGTTAAAAATAAAGCAAACTGATAACAACACTTATTTATTAATATCAAAAAATTTCAAAATAAACAAAAACTAATAATGTGCATGCCCTTCTCTGGCTCTTAAAACTTCGACACAACGTCTAGGCGTAGATTCTATTAGTTGACGAATCGTTCCTTGAGGAATATTGTTCCGTTCCTCCTGAAGTTGTACTGCTAATACCTGTAGATTATTTGGCTGTTCTCGATCCCGCAATCTTCTTCCCATGATGATCCAAATATGTTCAATGGGGTTTAAGTCAGGGCTGTTGGTTGGCCACTCCATTACAGTAAGATTTTCCTCTTCAATAAAGTTTTAAACAATTCTTGCATTATCTTGTGGAACAACAATAGGTGCTAATATCTCATCGATATAATGCCTAGCTGTTAAAGTGTCATTTTCAAAAACATGTAAGCGTGTACGCCCGTTCAATTGAATACCTCCCCAAACCATTGCAGAACCACCGCCAACAGCTCTTACTTCTCTTACATTGCAATCCAAAAATCGTTCTCCACGGCGTCTATAGACTCTCACATGTCCATCGTTGGAGTAAAGGCAAAATATTGATTCATCCGTGAAAAGGACATGGCTCCATTGATGAATATCCCAATTTACATGTTCTGCTGCAAATTTCTTCTTGCTCTACGATGAGCTGGTGTTAAATGAGGAACAATAGCTTGACTTCTTGAGTGTAGTTGGGCTTCATGAAGTCTGTTACGTGTAGTCTGTAGAGATATGCGTCTACCAGTGGCCTGAAAATGTAAGTTTCTTATCTGTATAGCTGTTCTTGTCCCATTTTGTAGGGTGTTACGTTTCAAAGATTTATAAAGTTAAATGTTTTATAAAAAATGTTACTTTTACAAAGTTACGTTATTAAAACATATTTTGCACCACGTTAAATTTTTAACCCTTTACCTGGGTCTCATTGTAAAAATCCTTATAATAAGAATTCTTACAAGCCTCAGGCCTAGCTCAGATCAAAATAGGTCAGTGGGATTCGTTTAGAATTTACCTTCAAGTCAATGACAAAGTCTTTAATTAAAAAGACTTAAAAGAATTCAATTAAATTAATTTGGGCGCCATACCTTTAGATGTACAATAAAAGCAAATTTGTCATTAACTTGTCAGTTGAAAGTAAGAAAAAAAACTAAAATTTCAAAACAATTAATCGGCTTTAATTTAAATTTCGAATTTGACTGAGACTGATTACATAATATAAAAGAAAATTAAATTAATTGATTTTAACACATTTTACGTTTTACTAATGATGAGTTTAAAATTAAAATTGACTAGTGACTCAAAATTGTGTGTGTGGTCCTGGCCGATACTTATCTTGTGTTTCCGGATTTAACGGTCGAACTGGTCTGGTCCGTGTCTTAATGGTAGGTGAGCGATGAGCCTACGATGACTTCAAAACACTGCAGTTCCTTACGCAACTCAGCCCAAGATATTCCGCAGCTCTAGTGGCAACTAGCTGACAATGATTCTGCAGTTCCAGATTACAAAGGACAATTCCTTAGTTTGTTACAGATCCAGATCCTTAGTTTGTTACAGATCCAGAGCCAGTTCCTTAATTTTAAGAAAGAAAAAACGTGTCAGTTACAACAAAAAAAACCGTATCTTTCCATTGCTTCAAAAAAAAACAACACATGTGGTCAGCAATAAAACTTACAATTTAAATTAAACATTCTTAAATTAAACATTTCAAATTTTACAACAATATTAGAGAGTTGCAATAGTATTTAATTTAAAACACATGAAGAATGGAAAGATCTTTTCAAATAACTGAGAAGAAAAAATATAAAATTAATGGCAGCCATTTTGTACATTTTGGAATTTATATTACGCGAAAATCTCACTATAAAAAGAGATAACTCAAAGATAATTTCAGCAGAATATGCACACAATAAAATTAATTTCTACTTTTCATAATAAAGAAAAAATTCGAGATTACCTTAGTTATTCGGACACACAAAGCACTAAAATCAACCTGTCTATTTCGCAGCCAAATTGAAAAGAAATTTCAAAAGCCGACAGCTGACCGAAGGTGTGTAAAACGTGAATATTCCCCATCCATAAGTAAGCCAGGCGTGCGCACGACATCTGACCGTAATTATTGATTTTTAGAGAAAGCGCATCATTGGTAGAATGTCCCAGAGAGAGACAAATTCCCGTTTCAACATAATATCTATATTTCCAAATACGAGGGGCGCTCAAAAAGTATTAGAATATATTGGAATATTTGAACTAATTAAATATTGTAATTATTAAAAGGGAGTGACGATTACAACGTAACAAGGGATAATCGTACAATTTGGTGGTCCTGTCGGGACGCAGTTATTCTTTCTCGTGGTGTATATGGTCTTCTACGGATAATACCTATGTCTTGAAATCTATTCCACATTCGGTGAATCGTTGGTTGACGCGGGCTACGTATCTCTGCGAACGTCCTTCTTGTAATAGTGTAACGGCTCTTGCTACTTCAATTTCACTTAGATGCCTTCTTTGTACAGTAGGCCTTCCAAGAACATCGTAATTCATAATTGTTAATGTTACAAACAATTTAATTGGTGTACAAAGTAAAACTGAATGTATCAGATACTTTTAATTTTTTGCGTATATATTTTTTTTCTCACCTCCTAATAAAAAAAGTTTTGTTTTTTTTTATATTGAAAATATGCATTTAGGTGTGCTTGTCATTTGTATAAATTTTAATGGAAAATACGGGGGACATTTAAAAAGATTTAGATAATTCATTCAGTGATACCTATTTCGTTGTGACTAGTTTATAATGAACAAAAATGGTTTTAATTAGTTTTACTCAAATCTACAGAGAAAAACAACTTAAAATGTAAAAATATATCTTACAAACTGCTTTTAAATTTAAACTTTAAATTGCATTAATGAAGAAAACACCTTGACTGTACAGGCTAAATTACTAATCAATTTTCTTCAACCCTTCCTTAAATCAATGTTAAAAATACTCTATATTGTATAAAACTATATTCCCTTTTCAGTAGTTCTAGTTTTAATTTTTCATTTCTATTCTTTTTTATATAATGGGCATTTTTCCAAATTTTCATTTGTTTTTTATGTCTCTCCCTTGAATTAAAATTGCATCTCATTCTAAATCAATGTTAAAAATACTTTATATTGTATAAAATTGTATTCTTTTTTCTATAGTTTTAGTTTAAATTTTTTATTTTTATTCGTTTGCACATAATGATCATTATTCCAAATTTTCACTTGTTTTGGATGTCTCTTCCTTAAATTAAAATTACATGTCTTTCTAAATGAATATAAAAAATACTCAATATTGTATAAAATTGTGTTCTCTTTTCGATAGTTCTAGTTTTAATTTATCATTTCTATTCTATGAATATTTAATACTCCTAAAAAACATTGAATTGTGTTTTGATTGCATAGTTTTTACGGAAACGCGTTTCGTTGCTGATATTACAATTTTCAACATTCCAGGTTATAAGACGATTTACAACCATGGTGATTTAAACCAGAACGACGGTGTAGTTCTATTTGTA